GACCCCAGCAGTTTTCCCAGAAATTTCGGTTCCTGCTGTTGTTCTTCTCCGTAACTGCAAGAGCCACGCTCTGGGCCGGGCCAGGCAGATCCTGCACCTGCTTAGGTGGGAAAGGGGAGCAGTGAGAGTGGCAGCACCTCCAGAGCACAATAAACATAAATATTGCAAACACTATTTCAGGTTCATCTGGCTCTTTCACACATGCCACCAACCTCAGCTTCCTCAAGATTTTTCTGTCCATCTGTTCTGCTTTACAGGGACATGCCTCTGTTTGTTCCTTCCCTTTTTCCTCTCTTCTGAGGTCTACACCTGTTTTTCATCTGAAGCTTATAAAAGACTTCAGCTCTGACTCATGTACTAGTCATATACTAGTATATGGATTCGTGCCTCCTACATTCTCTTGGCTTTTATTTCTGGAATGAGGTCTGCGTGCAGGAAAGCAATGGTGAGGTATTAAATATACAAAAGCAATCACAGCTGAAAGTATTCAGATGAAACCAAATAAGTTTTTAGTAATTCACATTTTGAAACTAGAGCAAATTCTAAAATGAATGAAAATCTAAAACTTTAAAAGTTGAAGGGGTCAGAATGAAGCATCTTGCAGAATTAAGATACACTAAAAAAAAAAAAGCCTCATTGTCACCAAAATGACAGGGGTTTGGCCCAATATTATGTCTGAAAAACTTATATGTGCATGTACCCTGCTCTCCTACCAAGTCTCAGAAGTGAGTAATAATATATCTTGTAGATGTTCTTTTAGACCTAAAGCAAATAACATGTAAACAATTTAGGCTTTCATGTCTTTATGTTTAACTCTGGTTGTTGTAGAGTTCTGGAGACTTAGAAACTAGCAAACAAATTAAAGAAGTACAGACCTATTAACATGACTGTTCTTGTTTCTGCTGTTGCTATATCTGCTACGTAAGAAGAGGAGAAAAAAGTTCATTTTTTTTAGCCTATTTTGGTTTCTTTAGTCTGATCTCAGAAGATTTAAATGCCTGACTAAAGTGCACATCAGTTCCTCATTCTTTAGACTTTAACCAGCAGTGTTTTTTCCAGGTTATCTGTATTTATCCCTCTGTATAACAGTCCTCCTTGTTATTAGGTACCAATTTATGAGTCCTGAGGAAGTTCAAAGCAATTTTAAGTTGCAAAACCTCCAAGACAGTTCAGAAAAATTTTCAAAATTTTCTTCTCTTTGTCACATAAGGATCCATTCTTCAGGAACATATGGTGACAAACTGTGCATCTTCCACTCTGCATTGCTCTCACACTCTGCAGACCAAAATATTTTAGTGATAAGTGAAACACATCTTGTAGAGTAAATCCATTTAATCTCAGGATTTTGTTCTTCACACAAGGCTTTGATTATGCTCATTACTATGTTGCCTTAAACAAGACTGGCTCCCACATGCTCCTGCTCTTGGGCCAGCAGAACATTTCTTAGAGCAGCCCGAGGCTAAACCACAGACCTTAAGCTGAGGAACTGTTGAGGGATGTCTCTGCCAGGGAAAATATACATGCAACAAGGTTTATGAAGCAGGTAAGGGCAAGAAGTGTCAGGAAGCAACAGCAACAAAAAAGAAGATTCTCGACCTTTACTCTTCTCTTTTTTTTCACATCTGAAGGTGGCTGGAATATTTCTGGTTCCTGGCATATGGTTAGAAAAATAAAAGTCAGAGAATGAAGTCTGTTTGAGCATTTACATAATGCAAGTTCTAATGAGACTTTGTGATATAATGAGATAGTTCATTACCAGCCCAGGGAATGGAGGAGGCCCCGTGCCTCAAAGAAGACCAAGAAGCTCAACAGCTCCTGCCAACTATGACCAGCTTGAGAAAAGTTCCCCCTGCACCCAGTCCCAGGCTGGACCATGGGTACCTGTGGTGCTCAACCAGGACACACCACTGAGTTCCTCAAACACAGGGTTGTTGGTATCCTCTGTCCATAAGTGTACACATGTCCTGTCTCCAATGCTGCACACTGGGATGTGTCTGGAGGATCCATTCTACCCATCTCTCAAAGTAGTTCTGGGAATTCCCTGAACTGGAGCCTTTGGAAAGTGTTGTTGATAGAAGAAAGGGATTTATTCACTTCATCTTTCTAAACAGATAATGATAGTAGATTTAAATTCAGCATGTATGCAGAAGCCATCTGCAATTTTTGGAGCCAAAGCAGAATCAAAAAATACTTTTGGGTCCTAAGGAGGACAAAAAGCCAAACATGAGTGAACAAACAGTATAAGAAGCAAAGATAGATGCTAACTTGTGGATGACTCACCTGGTTAGTAAATAACTGCAACAAAAGTGATAATCCAAGAAAGCACTGGAGGATATGGAGGGGTCAGCAGAAAGTGCTGAGGAGCTGATACACTGTAGGGACAGCCCACACTAATGCACCACTGGACACTGGAAAACTTCCTTCTCATAGTCATGGAGGTTATAACCTGGACTTCATGAATGGCTAAAAAGGTAAGAGAGCATGCAGTGACTCAGAAGCTCCAAAACAAACTGTTGAGAGCCAAAGAGAGCTGGCATACTGATGAAGCACAGGTACGTTTTTGCTGGACCTTCAAAAGTTACCTGTTTAAACTGGAGGGGGTTTTTACTGTTTTTGTTGGTGGCAGTTTGTTGGGGTTTTTTTTGAGGAATCTTCAGTGAGGAGGCAGAAGCAGTGTAAATTTATTGCAAGTGAAAAGAAATCCATCTTTCTTTTAGCCTCTTCTGGCTAAAAGCTGAGCTGTCTTTGAGCTGCCCTTGAGCTGTCCTAAGATTTAGACTCACAGATTTCATTTTCTATGTCCCAGACATTAGAGAAAGGCAACAAGGTGAGATAGATAGACTCAAATATCTCCTAGAAATGAAACAGCTTCTCAAGCAGAGGTGCAGAACTAAAACAAAATGTACTTTTGCTTCAGGGTATTCTCGATACTGGGGTTTTTTTCTTTTCTTTTCATTGTGGTCCTTCATTTCCCCACCCAGACAAAATGCAGCCATGACAACATGGAAATCCCCTGAGCAGCACAGCTCTGATAATAAGACTATTCATGTTCAACAAAAATATTATGTTGAAAAGACTTTTTCTTTTAGTTTGCTCTAACTGAAACAGGAAAAAAGAAAAAAAAAGAAGATCAAAGTGATAGCCCACTCAATTATAAACAAGACAAATTTAAAGTGAGAAGGTGTCATTTCTGCATAGTGACCATTTTGCACAGGAGAGCCTTTCTTTAATGACATTTCTGGCAGAAAATGAGATAGAAATTACATTGAGGGGTTTTAGAATAATACAATAAGGAAGATTATTAAGAAAAGTGTTGAAATTCTCAACTACTCTTTTCTAAAGCCAGCAAGGGCTAGGCCTTAGGTATGAGAAATCACCAGGACTCAGTCTCACCAATTCAAGTTTGGCTGCAATGTACTTTGGTCGAGCACAGAAAACTTGAGCATGAGAGATGAGTACAAGGAACTGCTAAAGTTCCCTCAGCTGACTCAGAGAAAGGGAATTCATTGAAGGGATACCATGTCAATTTAGCAGCTTTCTTCACTTTGGGGAGCATTTTCAATTATTTCCTTGCAAAGAAAAAAGATGATGTGGTTTCCATGTTAAGCCTCTTATTATAGTGTCATCATTTTTCTGTTTGCTTGGGCATTTTTACAAACTTTGTCCTCAGTTTACTTTACACCTCCAACCTGAAGCTTTTTTTGTTGCAGCCAGGGCTGTGCCAGAGTTTCCTCTTCTGTTTCAGGCCCTCAGCTCACCTGTAGTTAGCCACATCAGTCAGACCTGTGCACGGCCCTGCTTTACACTCTAGTGTGCGTCGGTGTATTCAGCCACAGAAAAGGTGCAAAGGAAATATCTAACGCCTCTTTATCTTTCACTTTCCACCATTGCTTTGTCCAAAGCCTGAAAAAATGTGAGATGTGCTACTTTGCTCTCAGGAGCCAGGTTTTGCAGAATTAGCCTTTTAATGGACAGGTTTCTCTGGGTCAGCATTGCCTTATGCAGGACTTAATAGAATCACAGAAAGTTTGTGTTTGAAAGGGACCTTTGAGATGCTTTTGTTCCAACTCCCCTGCCATGTACAGGGGCACCTTCCATTAGACCACATTAGTCACATCTGGCCTTGAACACTTCCAGTGATGGGGCAGACACAGCTTCTCTGGGCAACCTGTGCCAGAGTCTCACCACCTTCACGGGGAAGAATTTCTTCTGTATGCCCAATCTAAATCTGCCCTCTTTAATTTTAAAAACATTGCCCCTTGTCCTCTCGCTACAGGCCTTGGTAAATAATTTCTCCCCATCTTCCTTATAAGCATCCTTTACATACTGAAAGGCCATGATAAAATCTTCCCAGAGCCTTCTCTTTTGTGGGATGACTCTCAGCCTGTCTGTGCAGCAGGCATGTTCCAGCCCTTTCCTCATCTTGCTCTCTTCCCCTGGCCTTGATTCAACATATCTGTGTCCTTCTTCTGTTGGGGCTCAATGCAGTGTTCCAAGATAGGGTCTCACATACTCTTGTGAATCACCTGCTGGCAGTGCTGCTTTTGACCCTGGAAGTTAAAGAATAAACAAAAGCAATCACACCTAATGTTTCATACCTGGAAGATTTTTCTCCCTTGGACCTATGCACCTCTCTTGGAAGCAAAGTGGATGCCAGGACTAAACCATGCTCTTAGGGAAGCCAGCAGCACAAGTCCCACCAGCCAAGTCAGGAGCACTGTCAATGAAACATGCTCTCTTTCCCACTGGGCTTTACCAGATTTGCCCAAACGAGTCGGTGGGGCAGATCCAGAAGGTGCTCAGTCCAGAAGCAGGAAGCTGTTTCACAGTAAAAGCTCAGCAGTTATCTTTACTTTGGCTTCCTGCCCGCTGCCAGCAGCCTGGCTGTGCGTAGGCATGTTTACATTTCCCCTGGCGAGGTGCACTGGCAGGCTGCGGGGCGCTGGGGCCGACTATAAAGGAGCAGCGTGGGGCTCGCACACACACCCCCGCTGCACACATGCAGTGTGCTCAGGATGACACAGCCCACTACTGTGCTGAGCATTTTTGCCATGTTCCTTCACACCACTTCTGGGGAAAGTGGTTGCACTTCAGCAGACGGTGATGGTGAGTCATTTCATCTTCATCTTTCCACTCACATATGATCTTGAAAAATCTCAATTAAGAGATCCAGAATGCAACTGTATGATTAAATACATGCATGTTTTAACTTCCAATCTCTCTTTAGTGCCTGAGGGGGAGCAGGGTGATACCTATTTAATTTAATCACCAATTCTGCTGTCCTTATAACATTCAAATCCACATGAAATAAGGGAGGCCATAACTGCATGCACAGGGCATGCAGTGCCAGACCTGTTAATCCTTGTTATACCTAGTGCTCCTCTGCAGACTTAATGCCTGGGAACAGGGATAACCTCGCTCTTCTGCAACCCATGGTCACTCTCAGCTGCTGTTAGGGAGGGGTGAGGTCCTGGCTTCTTTTGCTCTTGCCAGTCTCCTCCAAATAAAATATTTTTATGTAACTCAAACTTGCCCCAAACTGTTCCACTTCAAAAGCCAAACTTTTACATTTTCTTTGAGCAGTTTCATCAGCTGTATCTGGGATATAGTCCCAGTTTCCCTTGTAGCTTAGCTGATGAAGCAACTCAGCCAGAGTTCTCACAGCACATCACCAACAGCATTTATGCCCTACTCAGCAAATAATTATAAATTAACAGTACTTTAAATTCAGCTTTATTGTAGATTTTATGATCTCATTTAGGGAAGTGAAAATTATTTAGCAGTATGAAGATGAAAAACATAAATAAGCAGAATATAAAAACAAAATAAGGAGAAATAAACCCACTGTTTCAGGCTGCTATTTGTTTTCTCAACAGGGAGATAAAAAATTTGATTTAGAGATTCAGTCCTAATCTGCTAAACTTTTATTTGCCTGATACTAAACAAACAGCAATGACAAGAGTTTGTGCAGTATGCCTGAAGGACATGGGCTATCACTCAGCTATTGGTAGGTTAGAGCTCCATTGTTTGGGAACAAAAGAGTTTTCAGTTTTAGGAGGAGAATTGGTTGTGCTAGCTCTCACTTGGAAAATCTCATTTTTCCCTGGGTGTTATGTATTTTAACACATGTATCTAGACAATTGTACATACATTCATGTGTACATGGATAGGATATGCATGATATGTTTTTTCATTTAAAGAAAACATGGTCTGGCTCAGAACTGCATCTAACCACCCTGGGGTTTTTATGTGCCATTTATTAATATAACTGGCAGCTGTTTAGAGCCAGCTTTGGAAAGCAGCTATGGTGATGAATGTTCAACGCTAGTGATTTATTGTTGGTTTCACTTAAATCTTCAGGGCTTCCCAAAATCAGATATGATCAGACCTTTGCTTGCTTTGTCACTAACATGAGTAAATCATCATTTCCTTATACTTGAAGACAGATTCAGAATATCCCTACTGAGCACCTAGAAGCTTTTATTACTTCTTTATTAGTCTCCTGTGTTTGGCCAACGAACTAAGTAAACCAGGGTAAAATCACTCATGACAATTATTTGACTTTGCCTCTTCGCCCTGCCTCCTTACAAAATGCCAGTAGCCAAGCTAGGCATGAAGTTGTCCTTATGGGCACTCTTACTGGCAGAGGAAGGAAGAGCTAATTGCAGCACTTTGCCTCCATCTCCTCCTCTCTTGTGAGCATCAGGCTGCCTCCCAGCTGCTGTCCTCCAGCCAGGAAGAAGTGGTGTAGATGCTCAAAAGGCCTCAGAGTCACAGGCAGAGCTAAGGAGGCGCAGGCAGGGAGAGTGCAGGTGGCACAGGAGGCTCACTGGCAGGGCACCCTCAGTGGTCCTACTACCCACACTTGTAGGGTTTGTCCAACCCATCTAAATTGTTGTGACTAAAATAGGTGCTGCCTGAATCACATCATCACATCAGTGCTAGAGATATCACATTGCTCCGTCCATGCAGCCAGTGGTTAGCTGTGTCCCTGGTGCTGCGTGTTGCTGACAGTCCTGGTGGCTCTAGAGTATAAAGCTGAAGCTTGTCCTCAGCCTCTGCTAACACCCTTCACTTCCTAAGGGCTCCTGAGATTCCTGCTGTGGTTTGGACCATTCTGCTGGATGCTGTCCAAACCCAAGAGAGAACCATTTCTGTGAAGGACCTGTCATGACTCTAGCTGTGAGAGCAGTTTTTATCCCAGTTTAGAATCACTCCTTCCCAAACCTTGCCTTGATTTCAGCAGAGCCAGGTTCATGGCTTTGCCTGGTCTGCATTTCTCAAGGCAGACATTACAACAGTCTTGTAAATTTTTAATTGAATGAAGAGTCCTTAGCAGTATGAGTCATGTCAGACTCACCAAAACCATTCACGTAGCAAACACATTTGTGCGTGGTGGTTCTGAGGTTTAGGGCAGAAGTGAGGCTGAGACTATGTGCATACTTATGTCAGACAAAAAAATTAGTCAGTCCATGGAAAAACCATACCATAAATAGCATTTCAAGCTGCTCATTTAACACTGTTCCTGAGGTTTAATTATCATATATTCTATTGTTATTATGTTATTTCCATTAATAAGGAACCGTATAATCACAATGTGAATGTTCACTGTCTAAGTGGTAAAGTCAGCTTTTCTTCCCGTGTGACACCAAAGCTTCACTGTGCTGGTTAAACCTTGAATGCATGTTTGAACTGCAAAACTAAACTTTTCTTATCTTCATTTTGCAACCAAACTGATAGAGAATTAATCTAAATTTCTGTAACTTTTCAGAAAATCAGTAGAGAATAGTTGATTTTTTTTTGATAAGCCATTTATTAATAGTATGATTGTCAGGTTTTTGAGTTGGTGTGAAATCTGCTGTATATAGTTTGCATATACAGAGATCACCAAGCAGTCATATAGAAAGGGAGATTAGTCATCCTAACCTTTAAGTTTTAATATTGCCTTGAGTATAAAGCAAATCTCTTGGCAGCTGCAAGTAAAATCTTAAGAGAGGCTCAGAACATGACATATCTGTGCATGTCAGTTTTGGGTGTATGTATCTGCATAAAATGTGGTACATTGTTTTCCATTTTAAATAGATTCATTTCAGCTTACTTGATATCCCCCAGATTTTGAATACACATATTTTCATGTGCACACTTTTTACCCATATGCAATGTGCAACTGTATGTGGTACCTATTTCTGCAAGTCTGTCCTTAAGACACAGGGCTGCACTGGACAAGACTCTCACCTCTGTGAAACTGCTACAGAATTTGTTCCAGAGTTGGGCTGACCTCTGTGTCTCTGTCTTGAACGTGATTGTTAAATACAGCAGCTGTATTTCTGCATCTGTCTGATTCCGTATCTGTGTCTGTGTCTGTTCCTTTCTGTGTCTGTGTTTCTGTCTGTGTTTCTGACTCTGTCAGGTTTTCCCCTCAAAGCAGCAACACCGGTAGAGGACACTGCATTTGTTGTCCTTCAGTGAGATCTGGGTTCCCTGATCTGTGCTGAGAAGGCCAGTAATAATTTCTTAGCACCAGCTGCTCATGGTGACAAATGCTCACTTAAATTAGCTCACGGGTGACAGATCTCCCTGTGGGTTCTAGATCAGTGCAGCATCAGATGCTCCCAACCCATCCCAGGCGCTGGTGGCAGCAGTCCCCTTCCTAGCCTTTGCTTGCACTGCATTTGTGTGTTTCTCTGCATTTCTGGACTTCTCTTACTCAAAGTCTGACTGCAGACGCATGAGTTGACCATCATTTTCTCTGGAAGGGATTTTCCATTGGAAATTTTTCAACAGGCATTTCCCTGCTCTGTTTATGAGTCTGAATCACTGATACCCCACAGCAGATTGCAATAGGACAAGGAGGAATAGTTTTAAACTGTCAGAAGAGAGATTTAGATTAGATGATAGAAAGAAACTCTATACAAAAAGGGCAGTGAAGCTCTGGAACAAGGTGCCCCAAGAAGTTGTGGATGCCCCATCCCTGGAAGGGTTCAAGGCCAGTTTGGATGGGCCCCTGGGCAAATTGATCTAGTGATCTGCCCACAGTGGCTGAAAACAAATGATCTTTAAGATTCTTTCCAACCCAAACACTTCATCACTTCTGTGATTCTTTTTCTCGCTCTATCAGGTGCCCCACATAGCAAGGACCTGTCTGGGCAGCAGAGGACGGAGCAGGGGATGATCGAGCATAATCCCTTGACTCAGGAAAGAGGTTTATGTATGTGACAGCTACCCAAAACTATTGTTGAAAGGAGTCAGAGCATTCCTACCCCTAGGATCCATTCAAGGGGTGGTAAAAATACCCTTTGGCTATAGTGGATGAGATTTTATCAAATGAGGCTAAACTGGCATTTTCTGCCAGAGAAGACTTCTCTCAGAAGCATAATTTTTTTCCATCATTGGCCTCTGTCTTGGTTTGACAAGACAGGAGTCTGTGAAGGAGGGCAAAAGCCTCCTGTGCAATGGAGAAGGTAAACCCCCTCCCTCCGAATTACCAGGATTTTTAAATTAAAAGGCTCTCAGGCAAAGATATGGGAATGGGAGTAACAATTCTTTACTAGGAGAAACTAAATAACAATTTTAAAAGGCAAAATGCAATTGGTACAAACAGAACTAGTGATAAAGTCCACAACCTGACACCCTGAGGATTTGGGGTGTTGGTAGCAGTCTGGTTGAAATGACAGCTGCTCCTCTTGCAGTGGCTGATGAATTGCAGCTGAAGTGGTGATCTTTAGAAGGGTATAGTTTTCTCTGAAGATCTGGTGGCAGTTGGGCCAGTCTTCCTCTGGGAATCCCGCCAAAGGAGCTGCTTCTCTGGGAATCCCGCAAAAAAGAGAGAGCTGCTCTGTCCCCCAAAAGGTACCACTTTATACAATAAAAGAGTGCTTGGCTTCCCCCTCTGGGTGGAACATCTCACAATGGGATGGTGTTACGTCACCAGCCCTGCAGTGAGTCAGTCAATGGCCCATTAACAAACCATTACCTCTTCGGAGCAAACCATTGTTCTTGGAAGAGATAACAAACCTGCCCAACCTCCAACAGATGGCAAACAGAATACAAGCTTATCTTACAAACCAGGACAGCCTCATATATGCCAAGTGTAGGATTTTTGAATTATGCTTTTAGTCAAATCATTATTGTGTTATTAGTCATTGAACCAAATTTGCAGGAAGCCATGCATTCTGGTAGAAAGTCTAAGATTTCCCTCCTGTGCCCAAATTCATGACATTTCAGAAAGCTTTCCAGTACAATCAAAATGTGGCTTAGCTGCCTGCATGGTACCAAAATATTCTTGCATGTGAGTGGACTTGACTGGCAAGAAGGGAGAGCAACCTTGTGAGGTGCAAATGGCTTTTAACTTTGTTTTGGACAAGGTTTCTCTGCTTCTTACAACACAGGTGGGTTGAGCCTCTTTCTTTCAGGCAACCACATGAAGAAACAACCTCCTATACAATGGAGCTGCAAATCAAATACACTCACGGGTTTACTTCAGTAACATCTTGTGAATATCTCCTTAGGGACTCTCGGGGATGATGAACCAGACAATTTTGACATTGATTGCTTCAGCCAGCTGGAAATTAAAGACTCCTTTAGCAGCCTAACCTGCAATTTCACCGAGCTGTCTCCTTACAATACAAACTACACCCTGTCTCTGTGGTAAGTGCTGTCAGTGTGTCCCTTGGTAAACAACTTGCAGGGAAACGGGCAGCAAAGCTAGACAAAATCCTATTTTGCCAAGTATGAGTACTGTATTCAGCAAAGAAGAGTTTATTGAAGGAGAACATAACTCCCTAATGAGAGAAAGAAAGAGCTGGAGGGGTCTCTAAAGGGGATTATAATGTCTCCAATAGCTCTGATCTTGCCTCTGTTGCTCTGGAATGCCTGTAATATGGATGTAGCCCAGCATGAACTGAGACTTTTTTACTTGAATTTAAATGGTATTTTAAAAAAATGTTTTTGAAGACACAAATCCTTACCACAGAAAATGTTTTTAGCAGAAGGTTGATTTTCCACATCCGAGAAAATGCCTTCACCTAGGTTAAGACAAAAACTCAGCTATTGTCTTTGCGCACAGAGACATACAAGAATTACACTAGAACAAGCACACAAACCTCCAACAGTTATCAAACACATCAGTCATCTCCACTTCCTATCGAGGCATTGAGACTCTTTCCACCCTATTTTTTTTTACTGTTGTGCCAAGCTGAAGATCATATTTTGTTTCTTGAGCATATATATCTGTTTTCTCCATTTTCTGTTTTTCCTGAAACTGAAAGTTGTGTGGCAGTTAAAAAAAGGAGTGGATATTTTTTGTAAATCTTTATATACTAGTCACTAATTATTTCCTTTTTTTTTTTCATAGTTTATTAGAATTTTTCAATTTTCATGGGACTTATTCTGGGTTTTGACTGAAGTTTTATGGCAATTCTCAAACATAGGAGCCACAGAAATGGAAAAAAAAAATTCTAAAACCACTATGTGATTCCTTCAAGAACAGGCTGACTCTTGACCCTCTACTTGCTACCACCTAAGTCAGTAAGAACTTTCTCTATATCTTCAGAGAGCATCAAAACACATTGCCCTATATTTAAAAATGGAAGTGGTAAGATAATTTTTGAAGATGGAAATGTTTTAACACATGCACCTTATATTAAATAATTGCACTTTTTTCTCAAGAGCTCCATGATGCTTAATGTGATTCACATCACTTTACTATTGTGCTCAAGGACCACAAGGAAAAACACTATCAATCTCTCAAACTCCTTATTTGCATTGCAATTTTTCTTATTTCACATGTAGTCTCACTTCAGTGAGATAAGTGAAAGGAGCAAGCAGGATTCATCCCTCATAGTAAGTAGCTAAGTCATATTAACACTGAGAAGAAATGATTGTTGTGTCACTTTGGCCAACAGTACCAAGGAAGACAACAATTACGCCTGCTCCAACATGAAGAAACAGGAAGATGTATTCTTCTTACAGTTCATTGATATACTCTCAAACAGAGATGTTTGCATGTACTCTGAGACGAAGAGAAGGGTCTGCAGGAGTCTGGTTGTAACTGACATTGGTGAGACACTTAACATTTCGGATGTTTTTAAAGTCATAGGCTCACTGGGGAGAAAATAGCCCAGTAAAAACCTAAGCGTCAATCTGGATAAGCATCATAAAATAGCATCTTAGCAGGGTATGTAGCCTGGATTGGGGTGTTATCAGAGTGTGGTGCTTCCCCTGCTTCAAAGCCAGACATTATTAACCTCTTTCAAAATGCGTAACTGAATTCAGGCTGATTGTGACACTGCCCAGACTTGGACACAGACTGAATCCCATCTATGTCTGAAGCAGCTGTCCCTGAGTGTGGATGAACTGCTTAACAGGGATATTTTGTTCATCTCTGACTAGGGATTATGCAGTTTTGGGACTGGCTACCACACAGACAGCATGAGGCCAGTAGCACAGGGAACACAAAGTTGCAAGATGTCACTTCACATCGTGGCATATCCTGTAGCCTGAACAAGGTGCATCCTGCACTGGTAACTGTGAATGGAGTAAGACACTCAAGGAACCTGCCTGAGCCAAGAAATAGGAAACTCAGGGGGAGGAAGGGATACACAGAATTTACTGTTCTTGGTAACCAGTGTCATTCAAGGGCAGCAGAGAAGCCTGTGTAGGACAGATTCTTCTCTGCTCTTCTCTGGTGCCTCATTGCTTTGTCTCCAGTTGGCAGTAGGCACTGCAACATCCCTCTCTTGTGAAATATTTCTGCCACAGTCCAATAGTTTTATAATAATCTTACATTACTTCTTAGTTTATGGGGCAACCTGGACCATCTCTGGCAGCCCCTAAAAACTGTGGAAAATCTAACTATCTGGGGGTTGTAGAAGGAGTGAGAACAATTTATGGTTTTATGTGTTTTCCTGAGAGGAGAGAGGTGTGGACTCTGTGTTGCTGTGAGAGCTGATATACTTAACAAGGTGAATTCAGGAAGCTTCAGTGCCACAGCCACAGTCCCTGCAGGTCTCAAGCCCATCCAGGTCAGGCTCAGCTCAGAGACAGCCCTGAGGGCCACATTTCAGACTTTATGTACTTGCATGGATGGTCTTTGGCACAGTCTCCTTCAGAGAAGATCAGATGTGGGTTAATAGCAAGGGTCTGGAGCCACAGCCCCCTCTGGTCTATCTAACACCGCCAGACTTTGTACCTCCCTCTGTCCCATTGCCCTGACAGACAGCCACAGCAGTACCTAAGCACAGGTCGTTCCCCAGCACCTCCTCCCAGATGGGTTTTGCCAGGGGGCCTTCATCTCAGAGCACTGGCTAGAGGGACTGAATTTCAGGCCTCCAAGCTGCCACAGGGGTGGGCATGCTCAGGAGTTGCTTTCCAAGACTAAATGTCATATCCCTCACAAGGACCTCCCGTGCTGGTCAGACTATTTCTCTAGCAGGTCAAAATCAAGCCCTTGTCAGAATCAGGATGAGCTGGGGCTCAGCATGAGCACCACCTAAACTCAGGACAGCTCTTCCTCAAGATAGGCCACCCTGCAGGGCTGTAATCTGAAGTGGATGGATTTTTTACATTTCAAACCCTGTTTATTTTCTAGTAACATTATTCTGCTCCTGATTTGCTGTCATTTGCAGTTAAGCCTGAAGTACCATTTGCTATAAACATCACATATGAAAGGGAGGCAAATGAGTATCTTATTCGTTACTGTACACCACACTCAAGGAAGAAATACTTAAAGGACAAATTAGTGCACCAAGTAGCCTATCGGCAGAAAGAAGGTATTTGGAAGGTAAGTGGTGATATATTGGTGTGCTTACACTAATTTCCAAAATTAAACATTATCAAAATTACCTGTATAATGTAAAAATGATCAAGTCTGCATTTCTGCAGATCTCCATCTGAAAATTTGGAAAGGTGCAATATTTGGCATTTGGAAACATCATCAGTCAAAAGAGGTTTAATTTCTTTGGGCTTTGCAGTGGGAATAGAAAACATAATGTATTGAACCATTCTAAGTTTGTCCTTTGCTGTGGTGGTTTTGCTATTATTTTCTGTGCTCATCAGTCAGTAAACTTGTGACCTCTTTAATTATTTTGCAAGTTTCTTCAAATTGAATCCTTCCAGGCTTCCAAGGCAGCCCTGCATCTCTTCCACCCTCGGGCTGTCTGAGGCTGCAGCTGCCTGTGAACTGAGTCTGACTGGGGCTGCCCAGCTCCAGGGATCTATCTCTGTGTCCCCTGTCACCAGAGCAGCCATGCAAAAGCTAGTCACAATGTTTGAAAGCATGGACTGCACTTGGGTTTTACAGGGGGAACAGAGTGTTGTCCACCAAAATCAGACTTGTTACCTGGAGTGCAACAAGGCAGTAATTACACACTCAAGAGAGACATTGACTGTTCCAGTTGCACAAGCCTGGGTGCTCAGTAGCATTCCACAAATCAAGCACACCAACTACCAAAACATTTTACTATTTATACATTTTAGCAAACAAACTAATTCATGTTCCTTGCCTATAAGTTACATAGTTCTCTTATTAATTAGTGTGCCATCTTCAATCGGTTAATGATTGTCTTACATCTCAAGCTAATTGGCCCACAGGCTTAGTCTTTGTCTTCTCTTGAGTTGGTGGCTCCCTTGTCCAGGTGGGCCATGAGTCAGCAGTCGTGATCTGCTCTTGCCAGAATTACCTTCTAGCCAGTTCAGAGCTGATTCAGCATAGTCACTGATCTGTCTTTATTAGTTTATTCCTTATCTTGGGGGTTCTGCCAAATGTCCTCTATTATAGCCCAAAAATTCTGCACTCTTTGTGTCCGTTACCATCACTACATCCTTCTTCCCAAGCTTTGTTAAAACCTCCCCCCAGGTCTCACATCATCGAAGCATGATGTATGTCAAGACCCAAACCTTAACAAATCGAATCTACCCACAAGTAATTTGTTTTTCCAACACCTGGACATAACTTATAGCTTGCTTATTAACTGTTCTCTGTTTCAAAGATTAAATCTCCCTCTGTTGATTAAGCTTGAAAATATATAAAGATCAAACATCAAAGAACTTAAAGGGAAAAGTATATTGATTCAGGCAGCAAAATACATTGAAAAAGAGAGCATCACAGCTGCACTGCAGGATTTCAGCTTCTTCCCTGGAACTGCCCTCTCAGACATTGTCTTTTTATGCTGCAAAAATGTATTTTTTTCTCCATCTCTCCTCTGAGCCTTTTCATGGAAGCATATATTTCCTGCAGCAGTGTCAGCTGCTGCAAAGCAGAGTTAATACTCACAGCTGTTTTCCTAAAAAGCTTTTACCCAGCATTTGTCTCTCTTCTCAATACTATCTGGACTATGCTCTTGTTTAACTAGGCTGATGCCCTGATAAGCACCTCTGTAATAGCTAGACAGATGGAGTAAACAACACAGTATTTCAGGGATGCACCTGATCTCACATATTTTGCTGAACTCGAGGATAATTCTCCACTGTCTGCTGGAAAAATAATTGTATTTTTGTGTGTGTGTGTGTGTTTAGACAATAGAGTCACCATACCTTCAGATAAAATTGCTGGGGAAAAACCTTGAAAATGAAGCATCATATGAGGTGAAAGTACGTTCTCAGCCCAATGGAGATTATTTTAAGGGAATATGGAGTGAATGGAGCACTTCCAAGAGCTTCTGGACAGCAAGAGAGCAGCACTCCATAGAAAGATGTAAGAGCTGAAAACACTTTGGTCCTCCTGGAGGAAAGCAGAGCTGGGGGTCTGGGCTCCCTGGCCAGCCTCAGTAGCAGCAGTGATGAGAGAATGGGGAGGGAAGAGCCCATGGCCACAGCAGGGTCATCCCTCACAGACACAGGCACTCCAAGGAGGTGACTCATATTCAGCTGGATCGCTCTGGTTTGAGGCTGGTTCTCCATGAAGATTTAAATCTCATTCAAGGGCAATAAAGTCAGAGCAAGTTCTGCCATGAGAGCATGAGGGTGTGGGTGCAGAGGGAAATGATGGCTGACTCAGCGCTTGCTGCTGGCTGGCTTGCCAGGGGAAGGAAGAACTTGCACCAGGTACTTTGGGTAAGGCATAACCTATTTTAGGACCCTGGGCTTGAATATGAACACGACACTTGAAACACAAATGCAACACAGGATAAAATCTCATCACTGCGCATGAATAATCTTTGTGGTCCTTGGGTCCCTTCAGTCCCCAGGGGCACCTCAGCATTACAGGTGTTAGAAGTTATCTCTATGCTGCTGTGAGGATAGAGTGAGTGCTGATTTCAATACACAGGAGGTGACAGCACACTTCAAGCTGCTTTGATTCAGTCTGTGAACCCAGCTCAAAGCTCAGCCTAGTGCTGATGCTCTGGCAGCATATCATTCACCTCCTTCATGGAGGCAGGAGAAATGAGCCCAGGCCAGTGATAGAAAAGTGCAGTGCTTGGTGTTAATCCCTAATTTATCATCTGAAAAGACATTACTGTTATGATGTCTTAACAGTGAGACATTTACGTGCATTGGCTGATGTTCTTTGTTTTCCTGCAGATAGCAGTGTGGTCATGGTTATATTCTCCATCCTGGGATTCATGCTGTCTGTTGTTATGATTGCACTGATTATAGTTTTTTGGAAAAACAGGTAATCTCTTTGTATCAGAAAATATTTTGGAACCCAATCCTGTTCTGACAGTCTTACTGCTTACCCTGTTATACTTGTGAACTCTTCTCTCTCCATCTCTGGAACTCTGTACCAAGTGGATAGCAAGCAAAGAGTAGAAATAAGCAATACCAGAGACAGTGTTAGGAGACAGAAGAACACCTGCCACTTGGACCAGATTTCAGTCCTGAGCTCAAAATACTGGGACCTTTGGTGAGCCAAAGTCACCACAAAACACTTTGACTCAGAGTCCCACTGGAGGCAAATTTGAGTCATGAACTTCAAGCAAAATCCAGAAAAGAAAGGAAACTGTGGGTTTTAGTAAACTCCTAAGAAGTGTGGAAACAGCATGCCAGAGTGATGAGCTCTTTCTCTTTCACAGGCTGAGTCAGTGGGGTGTTAATTCTGCAGTGGTTTCAGAAGCAGCAGGGCAGAGCCCTCTGCAACAGGGACTTGATGGTGTCAGACACCAGCCTGGCCAAATCCTCTTCCAGCCAGCCATGAGGCGAGATCAGCCTGCAGCGGGACTAAGAATACATTCATTGGCCAAGCAGTCCTTGTTCTGCAGTAAGGTTTTTCATATATCTGCTACATAGCAGGAGATGGATGACTATAGATATGTCTTTAATGACATGGCTCACTAGAGCTGACAAGCTTAAGAAAATGAACAGATATGTAAGATAATGTCATGAAACTAGAATCTGGAGGGATAAAATCCAAGTTTATCTGTAGAAGAAGAAATCCTTGCAAGACAGAAAGCCCAGGACTCTTCAACAACATTCAGAGCAGTCTGTCCACGACACCCACCTCAAGAGAGGTAACAGTGTGAGCTGCTTTTTGGGACAACACTTGGGCTGTGCTAATTCCAGAGGAACACATGGGGATTACCTGGCCAATGCTAGTTGGCCTCAGCCATACCATGCCGCAAACAATTTTAATAATTAAACATTTTAGATCCTGGAGTTATCTGCCCTAGTGCTACTTTATTCACAAGTACAGAGGTAGCTTGAGATTTCTTGTTGAATTTTACTGTTGTTGGGAACCTGCAGTTATCTAACTTTGCTACAAGTCTTGCTTACATAAAAGTGCAGCAAAAACAGGTGACACATTTGATCCCCGATATTTCCATTTTAGAAAGAAGAGAGTTTTATACATGTGCATATATGTGCATATATGCATTATGTGTCTGTGCCACACAGACACATAAATAAAATTAAATATATATTAATATATATGTATAATTATAACACTGCAATGGTTGAATATCATTTGGACAACATTCTCTAGATGCATCATAGCTGACAGTATCAAGCAGCACAACATGAGAACTTTGTTAATTAAGGCAGTAAAAATGAAACCTGTGGAACAAGGCTACAGGATAGATGTCTGAAGTTCAAATTGCTGGCCAAAGAATGGGACAATATGCCATTCTTTGAATTAACTATGCATGCAGAAGCAAGTATCAGCAAATTTCCACTTTAACCACAGCATCTTCTTGCACTTAGAGAAAACAGTTTCAACCACACACAACCCTGTTCACACAGCTAGATGAAATAAAGCAACAAACTCTTTGCCAGCATAATTTGCTGCATTTCCAGTACTTAGCGAAGTGTTTTCTTTTAACTGTGACAATTTGTGCACTCCAAAGAACAATGACTTTTTGGTGACCTTTACAATTCCTCTTCTCTGTTTGGTTTATTCTGAGACTTCTCTGTCTTTATTCTGGATAATGCCAGCCAGCCAGCCCTAAGGCTTTGTGAGAACTAATACAAATGATGCAGTATGAACCTCTGATACCTCAGCACAGCCCTCTTATGTTGCTTTTTGTCTAACGTTGCTGTTTCAGGATCAAGCCTGCTGTATGGCCGAACCTTCCTGACCACAAAAAAACGCTGGAGCAACTATGCAAGAAGCCAAAAAACGTATGTTCTTCCACTGTTCTTTCCTGAGTATAGATTCTTGGGGACACAACTAACGCTCATGAGAGACAGTATGTGCATTTGCTGCATGAACAAGAACATCTTTCAAAAATTACTTCTACATTTCACTGAAGAGAGCCCACATTTGCTCATGCAGATGTCAGCCAAGGGTATGAAAATAACACACAATTAACCTAGTGCTAGATGTTTGACTTGTGCAAAGTAACTACAGAGGTCTTGGGAAGTTGAGGTATGAAGAAAGACTGAAGAAATTAAGTTTATTTATAGAAGAAAAGGAAGCTTGAGGTGGGGAATACTACTTACAACTTTCCAATACCTAAGGTATATGTAGAGAGATGGGAAAGATGCTCTCACCACAGGGCTGTGTGGAGACAGGAAGCACATGCCTCTGGTAACAGAGGCAACAAGCATGTGCTGCTTCAGGGCCAACTTATTCCAGATACAAGCAAAGAATCTTTCTTGTGAAAAGAATTAAATGTTGTGTAGCCCATCCAAAGACAAGGTAGGCTCCCCTCAGATAATATGTTTAAGGGTTGGCTTGATAGGGCTCTGAATAGCCTAGTCTTGCTTCTGGCAGAAAGTTGGACTCCACAGCTCCTTTCCAACCAAGATGCTTTGTTGATTCTACAAAACTGTGATGATGGGACTGGATGGGGACCTTCTGTGAACATCCCTGGTGTTGTCCATGTACCCTGACATGGCCAGCAGCATTATTCATACAGCATGCAGTATAGGAACTGCTTTGCCAGTTAAAAGCCGGATGGACAAGTAAGTCATTAGTGCTGTTCATTCCAGGTACATTATTAGCATGTTCTTAATTTCACAGGAGGCCTAACACAGCTCCCCCAGCCCATGTGCTCTCCAGTTCAGGGATTCCTAACGTTTCTCAGGAAGTTGTGGCAAATTTTTACTTCCCTTGCTGCTAAATTAGGAAGGTAAAACCGAAAGAAACCATCTGGGTGGGCACAGTCCTTCCTGTGAAATGGCAGGCAGGCGATACATGTGTGTCTCAGAAAAGTCTCTGAAACACTGTATAGAGCATAAAACACTATATAGGGGTACTGCCTAAAGGAGGACATCAGATAAATTAAGTTAATAGGGAAAGGGATTTTCAGCCATGTGATAGTTTATTCTATGCTAACCTATTGTTCAGCCTGCTCAAGGTTACATCTGGAGTTAAAGATAATAAATACCATTCTAAAATAAATTATTAAAGTATTTTTTATCTTAAGCTACCACCCATTGTTGACTAACTGTGCTGTTCCCTTTGCCACACAGAATTTTGATATAAGCTTTAACCCAGAGAGTTTTGGTTATGTTCATATCCATAAAGTGGATGGCCTTTGGGCAAAAGCTGAACTGGAAAATTTTCTGCAGCCATCAACTGCTCCAGAGACAAGCTTTCCAGAAAAATTCAGGAGTGGATCAGACGTGAAGGTGAGCCCGGTGATGGCAGAAAAACCCAACCTAAACCTGCCCGTGTCTTACGAAGGAGTCTGGCCAGCTGAAGCCCTGTGCAGGCTCCTGGGCCCCAGCCAGTTTGCCGTCACCGAGGGCAGCTGTGGCTCCAGCACGTATGAGGTTTGCCACAGCAACAGGGTGCCCCTGCACAGCACTGGTTTCAACCTTTCCTCCACGTGTCCCCTGGGTCTTTCAGGCCAGCCCCATCCAGAGCCCCTAAACGATGACACCGGATCCCAGATGCTGCCTAATGGTGACATGAGATCACCAAACAATGAGGAAGCCTACGTCACAATGTCCAACTTCTACAAAATTCAGTAAATCTCACAAGAATTACAGCATGCATTTTTTCTCCAACACACGCAGGATACTGGAGCTTTCAGGTTTTGTTTTCCTGTATCCTGTGAGTTCCCACCTCCCTCGCACACCCTGCTCACAGTGCAGTGCTGTGCCTGCAGGGAAGGGCAGTCTCCTACACTCCAGTGAGAAGTAGACTAGCTCAGCATTCAGCATGCTGCTAGCAGCCTTCACTGCAGCAGAAATTAAATTTAATTCAACCTGATTCTGATCTTCAAATCTGATTAATCCTGAGCAGTGACAATGCAATCCCAGCCGAGGATCACAGCATGTTTAGTAGAAATTAATGAACTCTTTTGTTACTCTTTTGGTTACAAAGTTAAGTTCTTAGTAATGCCTTAGCAAGAAATATGGCAATACATTCCTTTTAAACAGAACCCAATCTCTTTTAAAGACTGGTGGGTCAAGACTAACTCCCCCAGTCAGCCAAAAGACAGAAAAAAGATAGAAAGACAGGAAATTAAAATTGCTATCAAGTATTAGATGCCTGGCAATTCAGGAGCTTGACCACCACAATGAAAGTTAGCTGAATGCTCACCAGAAATGTTACATGGGCCCACCAATGATTCCTGAGATGGATTTAGTTTTTGGTTTGGCGCTTTTTCTTTTTGGTAGTTTGTTGGGTTTTTTGAGACAAAAATTAAACAAAAGCAAACCCTGAATGCCACTATGTTTTGCAATTGGCAAAGATCTGCCCTTAAGTACCAAGATGCACAGAAACTTCTGCTACTACTTTTGACGTCTTCAACATTTCATGTACCAAAGCAAAGTCATGAGAAGCAAAGTCCTTTCCCTTCCTAGAAGCTGAATTAGGTCTGTAAATTGCATGATGCTGTCCTTTTCTGCAGCTCTTATGCAATTATTAGTGTAGCATAAGTGCTTTCTACTCCAGAGACTGGGCTGATCATGTTTGCTTGCTAGCATTATCCCCAATGGCTGTGACTGTACGCAGGTACTATGAACTTAGACAGGCAATGTTCTCATGCAACATCTGACATAGGAAGATGGATGGAATGTTGTGGATCCTTGTCAGTGATTACAAGAAGTAATCTGGTTTTTTAAAATATCTTACAGTTTGCCAGGAGATTTTTTGTTTGTTGGTTGGTTTTTGGGATTTTTTTAGGGTTTTTTGTTTCTTTCTTTGATTTTTTTTTTTTTTTTTTTTTTTTTTTTTTTTTTTTTTTTTTTTTTTTTTTTTTTTTTTTTTTTTTTTTTTTTTTTTTTTTTTTTTTTTNTTTACATTATGGCTGAGCCACTTCACATCTTCCTTGGATACTGCACATTCTGGAGCACACACTTGGAGATAAAGCTGCTACAGCCACATGGTTGCATGACAGCAAAGCAATGTGGCCATGGCACATCCAAGGTGCTTTCTTGCACTCTGGACTTGGGGTTCATCTCATTGTGCAGTCTCAATTCCTCTAGCTCTTTGAAATTCTCCTTTACCTAGTTATATGCACATTCCCAGAGTCTAAGGGTGAAAAGAGTCCTCTCTTATCATCGGAGGATGAGATGTTCATTTGTTCTGACTCATAATGGTCATGGAGATGCTGCAAAACCTCAGATGCTGCCATCTGCCTCTGCCAAGACAGCTTTGTGCCAGGAGAGCTGCAGAATGAATCTGATCACTGAAAATCTCTTGTGGCCTTGTTTCAAGAATACGTGGCAGAGAGTGAGGCTTGCATTAAACTCAGTTACTTGAATTGGAATTTAATGCTGCAGGAGACAGTACAAACCAAACACCAGTTCTGGACCACATCAAGCCAAAACCAGCCTTCCCAAGAGAGCACTCCACCTCCTCCACCTCCACCAAGTGCAAGGGAAACTTTCAAGTGGGGAGAGTTTAACATCTACTGTGTGCAAAGAGGCCTCAGATTTGGCTCAAGGCATTCCAGTGACATTTTACAGAATGTTTTTTATTGCTGTTTACTGCCAAATGAAGCATTAATTGATGACGAAGAAAAAGACCAAAGCCCTGGGCATTCATTTGCTTTATAGTGCTTGTATTTCCCTTCAAACAGAGCTGCTGATAATGCTTATACTGTGAGAACTTACACAGTGTGACTGTAGATACAGACAGACTGTACCAGAATGATACCTTCTTCCAGTGACACAGTGACAAACAAAAAGGGGATAGAGGAAGAAGCAAAAGCACATCAGGAAAATCTTCTGCAGCATGTGCTATGCTTCCTTCAAGTTTTATAATTATGTAGGTCTGTAACACATTTGTTGGATGTATGCAGATATAACCACTTTCAGCTTTTGTTTCAGGAAAAAGAAAAAAAATAAAGCTAAATATGCACCAAAGCCAGAAATACCACAAGCATTTCCTGTCTATGGCCAAGTTATATATAGTCCATATATAAGGATAGAGACATGACTATGTCTGGACAATCTGTCAAGTAGTCTCCTTATTCTACATGACAATTTCTCCAGAGCAGTCCACAAATTCCCATCTACCTCAGTAATCCCACAGGAGTTTTGTTCAGCTTTCATATACTCTATGCACTTCCTTTATCTTAGCACAACTTTCCTTCTCCCCTTCTGCCTCCAGTGCTCTTACTCAGCTGCACACCCAGACCTAGTTTACTGGCACTGGTTTCTCTGTGGCTGCTTTTTGACACAGAGCCTGGAGCTGCCTGCTCCTCCCTGCTTTGTGCCCGCTGGGCTCCAGCCCCTCTCCTGCAGTCGTGGTGCCACACAGGCACCCTCCCATCTTTGCTTCTCCCCTCGTCTGTGTGCAGCTCATGCAAACACCTCCTAGCATTATGAGCACTCCTTCCTGCACTATGCAAATGTCTCTTAGCTGTACACAAACTTAGACTATTGTCAGTCAATGAGTCATGGTCTAATTCTAATGATGCTGAAAAATGCTAATTTAATCTCAAGGCAATAGTCATCCCTGGCTTAAAGTGTTAGTTTTTCTACCACATCTCCTCCCCCTTGTGCACATTCATTAGACGGGCTGAAAAAACACACACAAATGCTGGCAGCAGATGACCAGCTAGCTAAGTGTGGGGACGCAGAAGGACTGCTTCTGCCAGGGTGCAGGGATGGCTAAATGCCTGTGATGTGCAGTGAAATCAGGGCTATGAAATAAATGTTGAAAGGGTGGCCTGACAAGCACTGCTGCAGGGACATGTGGCTGAGTCCAGGGCAATTTTTGGTAGGCAGAAGCTGACTATGAAACCATTTCTTCTGGCAGCAAGGGATGTGGTGATGCTGGCAGGGTATTTCTGCAGGGCAGGAGTAGAGACCCTTCTCAGCTTCTTAGCAGTAGTGTTTATTGATTTGAAGGCCTGTATTTGTAAAGCAATACAGCAGTGCTGCTTCTGGGGGGAGAAGCAATTGGATTTTAGTCAATACAATTTTAAATCAAGCTAATTATCTCTGTGGCTGTGGGATTTTTGAAGCTATCATTTAAAAACAGATAAAATGTGATCTAAAGAAGACTTATCACCTCTGTGAAGAATTATTGTAGAGTCAAACACATCCTTATTACTGTGATCATGAAGCCAACCAAATTAGCACTCCTGTGTGTTACAGAGCATTGGCAAAACAAATCTAATGTACAGACACACAGGAAAACAACTGATAATGCCAGAAAATGCAATTGCTAAATTATGCAGACTGTTCCATCCTTTGCACAGGCAGCAGCTCCAGGTTTCAGTCAGGACGTTGTTTCCTTGGCTTCTAAGCGCCACCTGCTGAAACACGAAGCCACCAGTCAGAGCCCAGCACTTGGACACTTGCTGGTGCCAGCGCATCGTGCAGCTCCAAAATCCCGTGATCCGATGGGACCTGGGGCAAAAAAATCAAGCCCACAACAAACTAAGCAGTATTTCACTTATTTTTAGTCTATAGCCCTAAAGAAGTTTGGGCAAATAACAGCAAAAGACAGAGTTTCCAGGATTTCTTCGTCTTTAAAATGACGTAGGCATCAATGTCCACAGAAGAACTAACTCCATAGCAGTAACTCAGAAATTCATCTTTTATAACCTAAGAATGAGAAAATCAGTGTTCAGTGTTTTCAAGAGAGATGGCCATATTCTGTGGCTCAGCAGATTCTATATTCTGCAAAAACTTCCTCTGCATCTTCCAGGGAAGTCTGATTTTGACATGTATGCCGCAAGGTCCTACACAGAATTTAATTAAATTACTCTAAAGAAAACGGATTGAGATTCTTTCATGAAATATTCTTCCAGTTATTGTTAAATATTGATAGCATAACTTACATGTCACAGCAAAATTAGATTAGTCCAACGTCAGGACAATCAGTGAATATAAAAAGCCCCAAAGGTTTGTCAAACAACAGAAAAAATGAGACACAAAGCAGAAATGCATTGATGAAAATGTCTAAAGGGATGAATCTATGTCACAAATTTGGAGCTTCTCCGACACAGTCTGACAATTGTTTTTCCAGAAAATGTATATAAGCTAAAAGAAAACCACTCCAGCTTTTGAAAGTAAAAAAATAAATTAAAAAAAAAAAAAAAAAAAAAAAAAAAAAAAAAAAAAAAATAAAAAAAAAAAAAAAAAAAAAAAAAAAAAAAAAAGAACACACACACAAAAAAACCACAAAAACAAAACCAGAAAACAATCAAACAAACAAAAAACCCTGCAGCTTTTGGAAAAAATACCATGTTTTAAATGAGAAAAAGGAACAGATTTATCTCAGGAAAATAAGCACTTCTTACATTTTACCACAGTCTCTGTTTTTCCACAGAAAACCAGACTTGATTCAACTTCCACGAAACCTTGTGCTTCCTTTCTATCCAAGATAGTCAACAAAGGCTGGATCCTGTCCCCAGTCTCCAGCTGCAGCTCCTGCAGTGTTGGGATCATCAACAGTGCTGTGAGCTGGGGGGAAGCCTGGGTCTGGGTTTTGTGGAGGTGTGGAGGTGGGGCTGCTCTACCTGGGGTGGCTGCAAACCTTCAGGCATGAGCATAGAAACGGTGCTAGAGGCAAAACCAAGCTTGCTTTGAAACCACAGGGGTTTCAGACTGTGCTGAGGCCAAGGGGCTGCTGAAAACAGAGGCAGCTTTTAGTCACCTGAGGGCTTGGTGTTAAGCACAGGCTACTAGGAATCCTGCTTTCTGCTTACCCTACAAGAGAGGAAAGCTAAAGAAACAGGGTGAGCTATAATCACAGCGATAACAGACAGTA